ACTCACAATCGATTTAGAAGGTCAGGAAAATAATATTTTGGAATGAAGGAAGTTGATTTGATTTCACTATGCCATTTGTCTAGCATTTGAAGCCACTTTTTTTAAACAGGGCAGACACTGTCACATCTAATGGTTACATTGGGTGGGTGCTGTTGGGAGTTAGCTTCAATAACAGTGGGTGAAAAATAAGAAGCTAAATTGTCCCCAACAACAATTTGTTTTTCAGGATTTTCAATTTCTTTAATTTTGGACAATAAAATTTGGAAAAACCACTTTTTAAATTGGACCATATCGAACCAGCTACTAGGTGTGTTACTATGGACTGTTTCAGGAGAACCACGTTTTTGTCCAACCTTCATATAGATTGCCTGCCTTGTACACCAATATAGGGGGTAATAAATCTTCTGTAGCGTATCCACACACCATTATACTGATCAAAGCCTTGGAATGCTGTTGAACTCCCTTAACGCGTTTGGTTCCGCTTGAAACAATGACCTGTTTAGCTCCAGTGTCATCTTGGACATTAGTTTCATCGTAATTAAAAACCAAAGAGGGATAAATATCTTGCAAAACATCTTTATTAAGTTTTTAAGAAAATCTTGTCAACTAACATTGTCTTTAAACTTCTTAACGTTACGACCTTTCCGACTTTGTTAAAAGAAAATCCCCAATTGCTCACTGTCACTAATTTCTTTGTCAGTAATTGCTCTTCCGCTGGTGTAAATACCATCGGATGACCTGGAGGGCGCGTATGCTCGTTCTTCAACTTATTTTAAAGAGTTCCCCGAGAAATTTTGAACCGTCTACTGGCCGTTGCTTGACTCATGCCATTTCTAATGACAGCCAACGCTTTTTCAAGGCCAGCTTCGGTAAAGTTTCTGTAGGAACGCGCCCCACTTATTTCTGATAGTTTCTAGGCATAATTGGTCAATGATACCGTGGGCCGCAGGTTCCAACACCTGTTTTAGAGTATTTTTGCTTTTGGGTACACACAGTGTCGGCGAAAATATTTTCCAATACATCTTGCACAAGTGTATGTAAAAAACTACAGAGAGTTAGCATTAGAGCGAGCAGGTAACGAGTAATATCAGCGTTGATATTTTATTCTTTGACCCTGCTACATAAACTGGCACCGCTGATGTTATTCGTTACCTGTTCGACCTAATGCTAACTGTCTATAGTTTTCTTATGCACTTGTGCAAGGCGTATAACTACTACATACTAATTAGCATAGTTAAAGAATTACTCCATTTCCAACACAAGCGTCCCGCTATACCAAATTTGTTACTAGTACGTCAACAAAATTACAATATTGCTGTGCTATGAATATATCGAACAATACTAGGATAACTTAAAAAATGCCGATTTTGAGTTATCCGGATCATTACAATGTAAAAAAAGCTCTTTCTGGTGCTATAGTCAGATATACAAAATTCATTTATTTGGGCACAGTCTAACTTATATCTTAGTGTTGCAATTTATACATTTTAATTAGTTTTTAAGTTAATAGTAAGATATCTTAAAATGTCTCTTTCTTTCGTTTGAGTTGGGAATCGTTATTTTAAATTTTTGTTGGTGAAATAGTAGGATATTTTAAGAAGTCTCGGTTTTATAAGTTGTCCTAGTATTACACTGTCAAATATATCTCAGTATTTCACTACATAATAAGAATAGTATTTTAACATGACTGCATTTTAAAAGTTATCTTTGTATTGTGCCAAGATATTATTTAATTTTAAATAAAAATTATAAACTCCTTAAAGATGTCTCTGTATTGAACCATAGGGTGGGGCGCTCTTTGATGGAACCATATATTTTTTTTCAAACTTGTCAGTCTTCAGTCTGAATTTAGTCTGTCGGCGGGTAGGGTCGTTTAAGTTTAAATTATGAAATCAATTTGAACGAAAAAAATTCTCCAAGAAGCCGCAAGATGTATTGTTTCACCAGAAAGTGGACCTGTTGTAGATATAGTAAGTAAATATACAGGGTGCTCTAAATACATAGAATATTGATTATTTCTTTTATAGAATCCGAATAATTCTTCTCAAATACGGAAAGATATTAAGCCAAAAATAAGCGGTAATAAGAACATCACGATGGTAAGTTTGCCGGTATATAGGTATAACTTCTAAGAGTCGTTTTCATAAATCGGTTGTTTTTTAGCCTGGTGATGTTTGGCTTGAAAGAGAAAACGAAACTCAAACATATTTGTTTAGAATAGAAAAAAAAGATATAAAAAATAACCTTCGGGACCTCAAGGTATTTTTTGGAGAAAACCAGAAATTTAATGATGATTCCGAAGAGGTAGATGTTCCTAGTCCATTCGAAGATAGTGATGCCGATATGGATTATTTTCCAGAAGACGAGGACTCTAATACGAGTTCGCGCAGTAATGATAAAGTGTTACCAAAAAAAGTCAAAAAAAAATATCAGAAATCCATCAACATGGCGCCGAAATATTAAAAAAAAAAGGTTAATACCGGAAAAGAATATTTGTCCGAAGGGGGAAACATCAAGAGAAGTAAACGACTACAGCAGGGTTGCACAGAAACTTGTAGGCTACAGTGCAGCCAGAAAATAAATCATGAAAAGAGACTAAACATTTTTACACGTTTTTATGAAAAATGTGGTGATAAGAATAATCAGAGGAACTTCATAAATTCTTGTATAAGCCCAACTAAAGCAAGAAAATATCGGAATGCTAAACAAGACAGCAAACGATCGCTTAATTATTCTTATCATTTTAAAATTGACAATGAAAAGATAAAAGTTTGTAAACTCTTTTTTAAAACCACTTTAGACCTAAGTAATACAGCTATTAGTACCGTAATTTAAAAAAAAAATGATATCGGTCTGGTTTTAGCAGATGCTAGAGGATGTCACGATAATCATAAAAAACTTGATGAATATTTACGACAAGGTGTAATTGATCAGATAAATATATTTTCACGAATCGAATCACACTATTGCCGCAAAGATAATCAAAGGGAATTTATTGATGGGGGACTTACTATTGCAGTACCTTGAGGACTGCCAGATTAAAGGTAATGCAGCAGTAAAACATTCTATGTATTCTCACATCTTTAACACCTGTTTTAACATTGGTTTTTTTCGCCCAAAGAAAGATTTATGTACCTTGTGTGATGAATATTTGCATGCCAGTGATAAGTCAATTTTGCAAGAAAAATATGATTCGCATCAACTTGAAAAGGAACTATCTCGCAAAGAAAAAGCTACAGATATTGAGTTAGCAACATCAAATAAAGATACAAACGCTGTTTATGTCTTTGATTTGCAAGCAGTAATACCGTTACCTTGCGGAAATATTTCTAGTTTTTACTATAAAAGTAAGCTAAATTGTCTCAATTTCACTGCTTTCGATCTCATTAATAAAGCTGGAATATGTTATTTGTGGCACGAAGGGGAAGCCCGTAGAGGTAGTAATGAAATCTCAACTTGTGTTTATAATTTGCTTATAAACAACTGCATTGGAAAAAATGTTACATTTTATTCGGACAACTGCATGGGTCAAAATAAAAATAAATTTATGGCTATTATGTTTATTTACGTTGTAAGAAACTATGATGTGAAATCCATAACTCATAAATTTCTTGTAGCTGGCCATTCCCAAAACGAGGGAGATTCTATGCATTCTTGCATAGAGTCTTCGAAAAAGAGAGCTCTGTTAAGTGGGCCTTTGTATACTCCACAACAAGTGGAAATGATTATTAAATTAGCAAAAAAACAAGGGAAGCCTTACTTGGTAAATAATATAAAATATACTGATATATTAGATTGGAAAACTTTTAGCAATAATTTCGGTAATTTTATCAAAAATACGGATGGTGAGAAAGTATATTGGAGCAATATAAAAATGTTGCGTATAACTAAAGATGATCCAAATACAATTTATTATAAAAATACCTTTGACACGGATACTTTCAAACAAATTAATATTAGTAAAAAAAATGACGATGATATACTTACTTCAGTATATATTGACAGGCCCAAAATAACTTATAAAAAAAAAGAGGACTTGTTAAGTTTGCTGAAACATGTACCAATAGATCACCATGATTTTTTTAAAAACTTTAAAGCCTTAAAAAAGGGCCAAAAAGAGTATGAAGATAGCGAATAAATTTGTTTAAATGTTTCCATTATTTTTATTTAATGTATCACCCGATTTGTTTGTGTTGTTTATTATGCAATTATTTGTAGTTTTTTTAGTAATATTTTTTTTAATAGAAAAAATAGTACCTGGTTAACTTTTAGAGCGGAGATTTGTTTTTTTTTTAATATTTTGTTATAATAAGCACTTTTTTATTCAAGAATAACATTGTGGAAATAAATATTATTTTTTACTATAACTGCTTTTCTTTAACGCAATATTCGAAAGACAACTTACAAATTAAAAAAAAAAGACAATAAACATAATTTACAGTGAAAACCGTGCATTACTAGGTTAACTAAAAATTTAAAAAATAGAGATAAGTTTGCTAATTATCTAAAAAATATAGGACAATACAAAGATACTTTTAACGAAAAGAGGTATAATTTTAAATAAATAAACAATAAGTCAATTCAATACTAAGATAACTTAAAACAAAAACTCAGACAACTTCTGAAAATGTGTTTAAATTATTTTTTTACTAGAACAATACAAGGACATCTTACAAAATATTTATTTAAAAAAAAAGTTGACACCTAATAACAATAATAACATTCATTGTAAATTTTTATGTACAAATCACAACGAACTACGTTAAGATCTTATTATTAATTTGAGTAATAAAAAAGTTAAGTACAATTACGGCATTAAAAGTCGATTTTCTCGAAATGACTTTTTTTAAGTTGTCCTAGTATTGTTCTAGCACAGCGATATTTACATGTTCCTATACAATAGAATAATTTTAATATTTTAATTCTGTTTAAAAAATAATTGTATTTTGTTATTTTAGAATTATAATCATACACTTTTTTAACTCTGTTTTATTTTTCAGGAGAGTGCATCGAATTCCACTCAAGTGGTACTTCGAAATATCGATTTCATACTCTCTGGGAATTTCACGTGCGAAGTTACGACAGACGCTTCGCATTTAACAACTGGATATGACACAAAGCCCATGCTTGTAGTGCGTAAGTAAAATAAAAATTATACATATAAATTTTCTGTTATATATCAACTTTACGGTACTATTCTGTAAGGAGATTTTTAGTATTTTACAGTAATAACTACAACAATCCTTTCACGATGAGATTTTTTTGCCGCATGTGGAGCTATACAGGTCTCATGAAACACGGTCACACGGCCACACCACTACTTGAGACTTTAATCAATTGCGATTTACTGTCAGCTATCACCATTTTGTATGGCGTTTTAGTACCGGATATCTTATCAACAAGGTGTTGCATATGGTTTAGCAGGTTATCTGATATTTTTGTTAATTAAAATAAAAGTCCAAAAATAATATGTTAAAAAAATTGGTTGTCTCTGCTATGCATGCGGTACCTAGCTCATAAAAAGACATTTAGCCATTCACAGTAAAATAAAATTATAAATACTAAATACTATTATAATATATATATGTTACGGGCAGTATTGTAAATTGAGCATTGATGATATTGACCGGATTTTTAATTAAATTGCATGCTTCGTTATAGGATTTGATGTGTGCCGTATTAATAGAAATTCAATTTCTGTTGATATGACATGTAGATCATAAAATCGCTATGCGTTACCGTCTCGATGATGGTGGGTGAGTTTTTCCGGGTTTTACTCACCTCTAAGTCAAATGATACCATCAATCATATTTAAGTCGCCCCGGAGCGCCACGGCAAATAATAATAATAGCCGTCCCTTCCCCTACACAAGTCGTTCAGTCAACTTCAGGCGTTGAAATTCACTCGTAAGGCGGTGAAGAAGGGAGAGTATTATTATTAATATATTATTAATTAATACTGATTTTTCGTATATTTACTTCAAAATTTAGAAAAATGATAGTCGATCATTTAAAAAACACATCGGTGTAATCTTGACTGAGTATGTAGGATATGTATATTATAGGTATAAGGATATAATTTTTTAAGGATGTTAATTAAGGCTATGACTTTAGTATTTGTAACGTGTGGAGGGTGGGTTACCCCCACGGCACTTAGGCCTCATTAGGCCCATTGTGCATCCTCCTAAGATGATAGGCACCTCCTAGCTCGTGAGCCAGACTACATATGACTTTAGTTATGTTAGAGTACATTCTTTTGGTATTTTGTTAAATTTCCATCTAATTCGGCGAAAACCTTGTTGGTTGATAAAAAAATACTTCTATCGACACTTAATTTACTTTATAACTTAATCCACAGGTAGGTGGATTAACTAGTTTCTATATAATACATTAGCCACACCATTTATAAAATATAAAATGGTTACGTGGTTTATCGTATGATGAGAACCGTTCACAAATATTATATCGCCTGTAGAAACACACCTAATAAAAACAAAAGTTATGATAACACAATCACAGCAAATGCAAGTAGAATTATGCAGACGCAGCAAGTCCAAGATAAGGACCCACCAAGATCTAATGGCAACAAAACTAGTTCGTTGCCGGAATTTTTTAGCTTTTACATTTTAACTTTTATATTGTTAACTTCCGCTTTTAGTAAAGTTTTTGTCATTTTTTAAAAAATCAATTTTTTTTAGCGAACCTATAAATCAAAAGTATTCAACATAATGACATAACATTTATTTAGTATTTTGGTTGGTTAATAGAAAGTTTCTAAACTTCAAGGTTAAATTGGACAGAAAATAAAAAATGTCTTCTTTGTCATGAAGAAATTCATTAATTTATTTATGACAAGTTTATATTTTCACCTATCAATTTCGTCATGAAGTAACTTCATGAATTGATTCATGAAGGAATTTTCAGATCTAAAGCGTACATAAATAACGCTGTAAGGGCCACACCACCTCTGCACTTCCACTTTCCCTCTAAGATCCAATTCAAATAACACCGTCCAGGTGTAAATATTTGATGAGGAATATGGTGGAACTTTTATGGAGTATCAGCACTACTTGAGGAATGAGGCTTAGCGGGCTACCCACTCGAAATGCTCCGATGTCGAGGAATCGAGGTCAGGACAATCTCTGTTGGATTAACTCGATTGACATTGTCAAAGGAGTTAATATTGTCGAGATGTTTCGAGGAATTCGTCGAGATGAAGCAATTTGCGGGCGATGTTGGTTTAGTTGATATCTTAAAATGGTTCGTTATGCAGGATCGGATCCTGAACATTTGACAATTAAGTCTAATTTCGTTCATTTATTCAAGCATTAAAAAATCAGAAAACTTTAAAGTAAAATAATAATAATGCATTTATTTTCAACAGGTATACACCCTATAACAGAAAATAATACATAATGCAATAAACATGAACAGTACTTAGTACGTATGAACAAAAATTTAATTAATAATAACTTATAAATAAAACAATGCTGTAAGAATGAAACTTAATAGTATGTGCTTATAAAGAGTAAAATATAAGAAGAAAAGAATAAATAAAACAACAAAAATAATTTATTAATTATTATTTAAAAGTTTGTGTTAAACGGAGATTGATACGTGGTTACGCCTATCCATCAGTGGTTCAATGTCAAACATTTGAAGCAATTCCTCATGGAGCTGTGCTTATTTATTTAATGCAAGATAATATCTCAACCCAGTTGCAATACATGGTGTCCCATTAGTGCGTTATTGCTTAATATTTCAATTTGTGTCATAGACACGCAAACATGTTTCAAATATAACTTATATAAATTGAACAATTTTAAGATATACAGGGTGATCCATTTTTGCTTGGCAAATAAAAATGTATATTTTTTAAATTGAACATTCTTCACTTTATTTCAGTTCTAGAATGGTTTAGTAATACTTTATTCAATATTAGAATATGCTTTCAAAATATTACGGGGTTGCCAAGCAATTAATTTTTATATGAAATTAGAAAACGGTGCAGTCCCAAAACTATATTATCAGAAATTTAGGTAGGTTTACATTGATTTCAAAATTGTTTATTGTACAGACTTATAAGATACTAGGCTAACGAATAGTGGTGATGGAACTAGGGTTGCCACCTGTCCTTTTTTGAAAGAACAGTCCTTTTTTAAACAAATTGTACTTGTGACTTTGTAAACCTTAAAATGTCCTCTTTAAAAACTATATATCAATATTTTTTAAGATTAACTTATTTTCAGCAGTATTGGCGTGGCCCACACGCTCCCAGAAATGAAATCCAGTCCCATGTTTTTCCGAACGCACTTCATTATTTTACATGAGTGCACTCGTCGAAAAAAGTATGTTAAATTTTCCAAACACACCCAAATTTTTGCTGCAAAAACCAGCGTTTAAAGATTATAATATCTAAAATATTTTGGGTATTTTACGGTTTTATCGTTATTAGTTATTATGATGCAGGTTTAAGACCATTAGATTGAAAATTAGAAGCAAAGTTAGGGACATTATTTGTTTTCTGTGACTTTGAATATTTTCTTAATCGTCGTCGCAGAAAGAGGGGTTGTCTTTGTTAAATTTGATTGAGTTGTAAATAAAACATGACAGGTTCTTGTGAAACCTGATAAACGACTAACTTTCATTGTTGTAGAAAAAGATAGACATACCTGAAAAGAACACTTCTGGACAATAACAATAGATGGCGCAACATGTACTGAATTGACATATATTTTTGACAATAGATTTGTGGCTAATTCGGGAACATACCGAGCATTTTTGATTTCTACTGCAAATTTTTCTTCGCCTGCTTTTGTAAGAATATCAACTTGGCCACTCAATTGCACACTGATTTTGCTATTAGTTGCAACCATAATGTCTTTAACGATTGGTTCTCTTTGATTTAATAGCCAATCCTACCTGCATTTTAAATGGCTACTCGCCCCTGAATCCAAACACCAATCATCATAATTAAAATAAGTACTAAGAAAAACAGGTATCCAGTCAATTCGTCGCGCGACAATTTATCGCGCGACCTTTCAGAGCCGACAATTCATCGCCACGACTTTTCATCGCTACGACAGTTTATCGCTACGACAATTCATCGCCACAAAAATATCGTATTGTATCTATGATTCATACAGTATGTCTGAAAAATAAACAATTTTTTTTGTGCTGTATTGAATTTTTCTTATAAGTACCAAATAAAATAATTTTTTCGAAAAAATTACAAAATATCTTACTCTAAATTACACAAAAATATGATTTACTTTTTTTCTGTTAATCAAGTAGTTTTTACTAAGAAAAATATAATAAATATCAATAATGTATTATTGATAAGCCAATTTAAAGTGTATAAGCGGCAGTCGCAGGTTCTCAACAGTCCTTTACCTACTATTTAAAAAGCATTATCTTCATTAGCCAATTCGGGTAAGTTACCACATTAGTTAATAATAATAGAGAATTATAATTATCCTTTATTAATCCTTTCAAGGAGAAATTCATAGTGCAATCAATATTTAATTCTAAAAAGGATTATCTTCAATAGCTTGTTTGTGTAAGTTAGTATTTTAGATGCCCTGTTTATAATATATGTATATAAGGTTTAAATAAGAAATACCAACGAACTGTAATCATTCTTATTTTGTCTTTGTACGAGTTTACATTATTGTAAAATTTGAAAATGCCGTTACAATTTGTTGACAGCGAAAGAGGTCACAAAATGCTTTTATACAATGAAATATATTTTTAGATACATTATTTTAATAATCTTTCCATCAGCTTGAGCAATGGACTGTAGTAATGTAGCTAGTAGAATAGTATGATGTCTGCAGATAATCTACCATATTCTGATTTAATTATGATGATATTAAATGTGTTTTCCAGTTAACAACTTTATTTACTATAAACTTTCTTCGTCTAAAAACAATTTTACATAGTGAAAAGATACAAGTAGCTGCTTAAATTTATGAATTACGAATATTAAGCAGGTTTAATACATCTCAAAATTAGCGTCGAGTTCGCGACGGGAGAAAGCAAAGACCTTGATTTTCGGTAGTCAAGATCATTCTTACTGCTAGTTTTCTCGTCGAGTTAAGTGTGTATGTAGTTTCTATTGTGGACGTGTTTCGTTAT